TACTGACTCCTTAAACCCAGGCAACAGCCTTCACTTACTGCAGTGAGCCTCCACGATCTGCTTTGACACACAGCAGTCATGGGGATAATGTGTTAGGGGGAGTTGGAATCTAAGGTAAAGTAGAATTGCCAAATGACCAGCAACAGGCTCTTTAAAGGGCTACATAAAAGTGAAAATTGGCAAACTGAACAACAGTCATCTCCATGAGGTGGAGAAACAGGTAAAGGCAACTGTCTCTAAAGTCATCCTTGAGACTGGAGGGCAGCCGCAGGGATCACGCTTAAAGTCATTAAGGAAACACTCAGCAAAGGAGAAGTGATGGTCTAGTGGTGTTATTGTTTACTGGTAATGCAGAGAATGTTCTGGACACATGGGTTTGAATCCTGTTACGGCAGATGGTAGAATTTGAATTCAATAAAAAAGATCTGGAATTATACATTCTAATGGTGATAATGAATCCATTCACTAATGTCTTTTAGGGAAGGAAACTGCCATCCTCACTTGGTCTGGCCTACATGTGACTCCAGTTAGTGATGGGCAATAAATGTTGGCCTAGCCAGCAACGCCCTCATTGTGAATGAATAAAAAAAGTTTCAGTCTACAGTTAGGCTTTTCGTTGTTACCTCAGAGTACAATAGGACCTTGATCAGATGGGCCAATGGGCCGAGGAGTGGCAGATGGAATTTAATTCAGATAAATGTGAGCTGCTGCATTTTGGAAAGGCAAATCAGGGCAGGATTTATACACTTAGTGGTAAGGTCCTGGGGAGTGTTGCTGAACAAAGAGACCTTGGAGTGCAAGTTCATAATTCCTTGAAAGTGGAGTCTCAGGGAGATAGGATAGTGAAGAAGGTGTTTGGTATGCTTGCTTTTATTGGTCAGTGCATTGAGTATAAGAGTCAGGGGTTCATGTTGCAGCTGTACAGGACATTAGTTGGGCCCCCTCTGGAATACTGCATTCAGTTCTGGTCTCTCTGCTGTAGGAAGGATAGAGCCATAGGGTCACACAGCACGGAAACAGATCCTTCGGTCCAACCGGTCCATGCCAAACATAATCCCAAACTAAAATAGTCTCACTTGCCTGCTCCCAGCTCATATCCCTCCAAATCTTTCCTATTCATGTACTTATCTAAATGTCTTTTAAACGTTGCAATTGTAACCACATCCACCACTTCCTCGGAAAGTCCATTCCACACACAAACCACCCTCTATGTAAAAAAATCTACCCCCCATGTTTTTTTTAAATCTCTCTCTCCTCTCATCTTATAATTGTGTCCCCTAGTCTTGAAATCCCCCAACCTAGGGAAAGGACGTCTACCATTAACCCTATCTATACCCCTTATTATTTTGTAAACTTCTATGAGGTTGCCTCTCAACCTCCTATGCTGCAGTGAAAAAAGTCCCAATCTATCCAGCCTTTCTCTATAACTCAAACTTTCCATACCAGGCAACATCCTGGTAAATCTCTTCTGAACTCTCTCCAGCTTAATAATACCTTTACTATAACTGAGCCACCAACTTCTTTAAGAATATTTCCTAACATTTTTCCTCTGTCAGATGGTAAGCTAATCGATCTGTGATATTCTGCTTTCTTTTTCCCTCTCCTTTTGAATGAAGGAAATACGGTTGCCATCTTTGAAAATAACTGGACCACCTCCAAATCAAGGGAGTTTGGGAAAAACCAATGCATCAGCTATCTCTCTGGCCACTTTTTTAAATGGATGAAGTCCATCAGAACCTGGGCACTTGTTAGACCACAGCTCTGACAACTTACTCAGGACCACTTCTCTGATTGTGATTTTCCTAGTTTTTCTGTCTCTTCCCTTTCCTTATTTATCACTGCTTCTGGGATGTTAATTGTACTCTATAATGAGGACTAATGCAAAATATTTTTCATTATTAATTTGCCAGTTTGACTTTCTATAAGACCACTTCATTAATCATGTTTTTATTTACAATAGTTATATAAACCCTTACTATCCATTTTTATATTTCTGGCTAGCTTTCTCTCATACTCTTAACATTTTTCAATTTTTTTTGTTGTCTGTTTTGTATATTCTGTCCAATCTGCTACCCATCTTTGCATAATTATATGCTTTTTCGATAAGTTTTAAACTACCTTTAACAATTCTAGTTAATCCCTGTCTTAAAATTCTTTTTACTTGTTGTAAGTGTCTTTTCTGTATATTATGAAAATTTAAGTATCTGCCACTGCACGTCTATTGGCCTATCCTTTAATCTAATATGTCAGTTTACTTTAGCCGGCTCTACTTTCACACCCCTATAATTTCTGTTATTTAAAGTCAAGAAAAAATAGTATTGGACCAACTCCTCTCTCCCTCAAATTGAATGTAACATTCAATTATATCATGATCACTGCTACCTATGGTCACTGTCACTATGAAATCATTAATGGATGTTGTGAAATTTGAAAGGGTTCAGAGAAGATTTACAGGGATGTTGCCAGGGTTGGAGGGTTTGAGCTATAGGCAGGGACTGAGTAGACTGAGGCTATTTTCCCTAGAATGCAGAGGCTGAGGGGTGACCTTATAGAAGTTTGTAAAATCATGAAGGGCATGGATAGGGTAAATGGACAAGGTCTTTCTCCCAGGGTAGGGGAGTCCAAAACTAGAGGACATAGGTTTAAGGTGAGAGGGGTAAGATTTAAAAAGAACCTAAGGGACAACTTTTCAATGCAGAGGATGGTGTGTTTATGGAATGAGATACCAGAAGTAGTAGTGGAGGCTGGTACAATTACAACATTTAAAAAGGCATCTGGATGGGTATATGAATAGGAAGTGCAGAAATACTGGCAAATGGGACTAGGTTGGGATGTCTGGTTGGCACGGATGATTTGGACCAAAGGGTCAGTTTCCATGCTGTACAGCTCTATGACTCAGCTTTGAGAACTACAAACACAATATGCAAGTTGTGTCATAGTGCAGTGGAAGAGGTGAATGTGCATATCCATAGAATCCCGACAGTGTGGAAACGGGCCCTTTGGCCCAGCAAGTGCACATGGACTCGGACATCCCACCCTGACCCATTCCCCTATAACCCACCTAATCTACACATCCCTGAATGCTATGGGCAATTTAGCATAGCCAATCCACCTAGCCTGCACATCTTTGGACTCTGGTAGGAAACCCACACAGGCACGGGGAGAATGTGCAAACTTCATGTAGACAGTCACCTAAGGGTGAAATCAAACCCGGGTCCCTGGCGCTGTGAGGCAGCATTGCTAACCACTGTGCTCCCCCTATGTGTTGTAGTTAGGAGATCATCAGTAAAAGGCAGTCAGAAACCAGGTTGTTGGCAGAGTGAACAAAGAAGGAAAATTCTCCAGAAAGTGCAGGGGGAGCTGGGAGACGCGCCTGGTCATGATCAGTGGCGAAGTGACTATAAGTGATGCAGGGATTGAAGCTGAGGGTAGGGTCATCCTGCCTATGTAAGTGAAGAAGCAGTAAATACGATAGATAAGATTGAGGCTCCCATCAAGCAATTCTAGAACTATCTTAGTTTAGGAAATGAGAGGCAATTTTAGAAACTTTGATGATAACAGTGGAGACACTGAATAAAGCAATGGCAACTTTATTGGAGGAAGGATAAGAAGAAACATAATCAAAGTGGCTGTAGAAACCAATGGGCTTGTGTAGATATGAGATATATCCAAGAGTCAGAGATAGAATGAGTGAGTGGGGAAAGAAAGGGAGAAATAGACCGCAAAGATGGTAATTGGAAATGGGAAACATTATCAATGAGATTCTCCAGGTTGTAACAAGCAAGAGGTAGAATAAACATCATCAACAATGTAATGGAGAAAAATTTGGTAGGGAACCAGAGTAAAACTATAACAATGAGTTCTGTATGTCCCATTACCAAAAGACAGACATAATTGGAGATTATACAGATATTCAAAGCATCACTGTTTATGAGAAGTAAATGGAGTTAGGAGAGAAACTATCAGGGTCCACGCAAACTCAACGAAGCAGAGAAATGGTGAGACAACAAGGTGCAGGGCTGGATGAACACAGCAGGCCAAGCAGCATCATAGGAGCAGAGGAGAGGCTGACGTTTCGGGCCTAGACCCTTCATCAGAAAAGGTGAGGTGCATTTTCAGTAAAGATGTGGTGAACTCAGCAACCATCCCGTCCAACAAGGTTCTAACACATTGCGATGACAAAATAAATGGGAGACACAAAACGGAATGCTGAAAACAGCACCGAGCTCCTGAATCATCGTTGTAGGTTTGGGGTGTCTGGACCAAGAGAGAATAGTGTCAAGGTGAGAGGCCGCAGTGGGACAGGTTTCCTGTTGCTTTATCCAGGAAATAGACGTAAGTTGTGTGGGCTGTAGGTTTCCACTGGGATTGGAGGCATTGGTGATGGGTGAGTTTCATGGGAAAATGATAATACGAAACAAGAGAGAATCTGGGAAATGATAAAGAATTGGAAAGAGATAGGGATGGGAGTCATACAGTTGATCATAAGTGTTCCCACTATACAGCCTTTCCACAGGTTTGTGGATGAAGGAGTGAAGCTGAAAAGGACATTATTCAAGATGAGTAAGGTAGAGTCATACCCACCGTTAATCTGACTGTAAATATTCATGAGGCCATTGTGCGGTATTTCACTTGGGTTCTTTTTTGCTGAAGTATAAGACAAGATTGGTGCAATCTGGATCTTATAGATCAAAACAAGAATTTCTTACCAAGATCTTTCAAGGTATCAATTCTATTTTCCATTCAGTTTCTAAATAGTGCTGTAACAATTGAATGTCACCCTCCAATTTGTTCCTTTGCTACTTGCTATCCAACTGTTTTGAATTTAGGTCATTCTGTTAGTTCTTTGGGCAAATTGTGTTCACAAGAAGTTTGTGATGTTACTGTGAGTACATAGAGAAACAATTTGCTTTTTGTTTGCTGAGGAATTCTCTCTCCAGCATATATTGCACAAAGTACTGCAAAATGAATTAACAGTAATGTTTATCATTCCATTCCAGACACTTGCAAAGAAAGCAAAAGCAGGAAAGCTGTTACCGGAGGAATATCAGGGAGGATCTTTCAGGTAAAAACCCCAGCATTTTGACCTGAATCATTCCACCTTTGTTTGTATTAAAACACTGGGAATCTGCAGTTGTGTTGAGTTTGGGCATGTTTGGTTTTCCTGGAACCTTTTTCTTACAGTTTTGTTCTCAGTTCTTCATTGGCTGCAGCCACTTCGTGAGTAGTAAGTGATTCCATGGCCTGTAAAAAGCTCAGTAAAATCAGACAGCCTGTCCAGCATACTTTGCATATACCACGAGTTGTCTTGGTAATTACTGCTTGGTAATCTACCAGGAAAGGTATCCTGCCTGGTCCTGCTGCCAGTTCCCCTTAGACACAGAAATAAAGCTTGTTGAGGATAGCACAGCCATTGCCAGAGAAAGTGAGGTGCACATGCAATGTAAAATACGTACCACATTTCACCCTCTGAATGTTTTCTAATGAAGTAGGCATTTTGTTAAAACTTCCTCAAATCCAGGCAGGAAACTCTTGGTAGGATATCTAAACATTGCTGCAGAATAGTTGGAGAAACAGGAGTGCTTGGAATAGATTTTGGATCCTCATTGTCCACGTGATCAACCATAAATTATATCTCAACCCATCTGCAGAGTTCGTACACTGACCACAGATACAGAGGGACATCTGGGGATTGGGAGGGAAAGAGAGAGAGAGAGAGACAGACACAGGGACAGAGAGGGAGAAAAGGGGGTGGACAAAGAGAGGAGGGAGGTGGGTAGGGGAGGAGCAGGCAGAGAGAGGGATGAAGGAAAGGACTGGCCAAGAGAGATGGGGGGATAAAAGAGGAGAGTGGAGGGGATGAGTGGAAAGGGAGGGAGGAAGGGGGTACAAACAAAGAGAGAGAAAGCAAGGGAAGGGATGGGCAGAGAGTGCACACACAGAGATGCCATAATGGAATACACCTCCACATGTCTAGGAGCCCTGAGCAGAATCTCCTCTCAAATGTAGAACTCCCTTCTTTCGTGAAAAAGAAGGGGTTAAGTGGCAATCTACATGTGATTGTTATACCTTTTGAAGGTCTGGCCCAATGTCTATGCAGGACAGTGAACATTTCAGTCAAAACGAGATGTTTTATGGTCAGTTACATGACTCATTGTGAAGGAGCGGATTAAATGAGCTAAAGGAACTTATTCATCAAAACCAGCTTCTAATCTTCAACATATTTAATACACCCAATACTTTAACAGTCATATGTTAAAAGTAGACTCAACTAACACCTGATAAAGATTATAAATCATGAATTGGACAGGTTCAGGAACTTCAAAGTTCCTAGTTACAAACATCTGCCTAGCGTGAGTGAGATTGTAGTATCCTGGGGCCATCAATTAAAACCAAGGGAGGGTTTTAAAACTCAGCTAAATTTGAAGACTGAACCATAAGGACTGAAATTTAATATATGTATCATATCTGTAGACTGTATTATGCTGGAAATAGAGCCCCATTATTCCTGGAGTTGTCACAAAAGTGAAAGATATTATAAAAGTGCACAAAATTCCCCAATTTCCCTGTCTTTCAGACCCAGGATGACTGAAAGCACAGATCATGTTTCAGTATTTAGCACAAATTACAACAATAAATAAATTCTAAGCAGGGCTAAACAAGTAATAACCATCAATATAGAACCTTACTAGTTAAACCTCTAAACCCTGTATTATATAGATGCATACACAGCATGGGGGAGAGGGAATTGAAGGCTGTTCAGTGGTCATTGTCCACAGAATTCACTGCTTTCATTTGCTTACAGGAGACACAGCGCAACTGACTTATTGGTTAAAAGGCCATAGCTTACAGAAACGGATGAGGGAGAAAGGAGCTACTTTCTTCAGGCTTGAGCTGGTTTACTGCAGGGAAAAGGGAGCGCTCTTTCCCTGCCGAGATCCACTGACTTTTCCCTCAAACATTCACACTAACAAGCAGTTTAGCTACCTGGGAGCCAATCACATGATTGTTGCCAGGCAGAAAGCCTTTGTCATCGACAACTGGTCACCATAGCACAGACCAATCAGCCACTTGTCGCTGGCCAAATGTCCATTTGTACATACACATGCCCCCAGTTCATCTGTAATTTCCCCCACCTGCACTCCAGCTAGGGTTCTGGCGAGGGAGTTTCATGATTTTGACTCAGTGCCAGTGAAGCCATTGCAATATATTTCCAAATCTTAATGCTGTGTGACTTGGAGGGGAGCTTGCAGGTGGTGATTCCCCCATGGTACTCTTGGCCTCCTACATTTTGGAAGGAGCTTGGTTGAGTAGCTGCAGTGCATTTTGTAGATGGTACACACTGCTACTACTAATCATCATGGTGAATGGAGTGAAGGTTGAAGGTGGCGTCTGCTTTGTCCTGGATGGTAACAAGCCTCTTGAGTGCTGTTGGAGCTTCACCCATCCAGGCTTTGGGGAAGTAAGGAAGCGAATTATTCACAGAATTACTAGTCTCTGTCCTTCTATTGTAGCCACAGTATTTTTATGGCTAGTCCAGTTCAGTTTCTGCTCAGTGGTAATTCCCAGAATGTTGACAGTTTGAGGGGAGGTGTTCAGCAATAGTATAGGGTAGTGTCCTTAAATATCAAGAATGGATGGTTAGGATCTCTCTTGATGCAGCTGGCCATTGCCTCGTGGTTGTATGGGATGAATGACACTTGGTTGTTTGGACATTTACCTTGAGCACAGAATTCCATACGGAAGCACAAAGCATTATAGTACATGACTGACTGAGCAGGTCATTGACAGGAGTTAGTCACTGATGATGATTCATGGCAGTGTGTTTAAACCCCCAGGAAAAGAAACAAATATGCTAATTTTCTTTTTGTTCCACTTTCTCAGCATCTCCAATTTGGGAATGTTTGGAATCAGCGGCTTCAGTGCTGTCATTAACCCACCTCAAGCTTGTATCCTGGCCATTGGGCAGTCCCGCCATGATCTGACCATTTCCGAAGATGACAAAGGCAACCACAAACTCTGCCGGAAAGACATGATGACAGTCACCCTGTCTAGCGATGGCCGGGTGGTGAATGATGAGCTTGCGTCTCAGTTTTTGGAGAGCTTCAAGCTTAACCTCGAGAATCCAAAATTATTAGCTGTGCTCTAGGCTGCAGTCTGGACTTCACCATACAAAGGATTAGGGATATTACGTGGAAGACATTACAGAGTGTTCCTATAATGGAGTTTATTTTATTTTTAGTCTTGTGACAATGCAGGTGAATCCCTATCCTGCCTTTACCTATGTGTAAGGCCAAATAAAATAACTTTGTTATTTATTTCAATGGGTTGCCATCTTCATCTCATTATCATCAACACTACCTCACTACAGCCAGCTTCGTTCTGCCTGGCAGAAGTGAAAAACCCTGTCTGAGTTCAACTTTTCCACAAGATTCAATGTTCCCTCAACCTTACTCCAAATAAACTGCTGATCATTCAGTTTCATATTTCTCCCAGTTTTGGATGGTATTGTTATTGGCTCAACTGTTGTCTTTCTCTCCTTTAAATCTACCATCATCATCCCCCTTCTCAAAACAAAAGCCAACGGCCTGCCTGGTACATTCTGAATAGGCGGTGAGTAGTTTATTTTGTTTTCTCCACTGATATTTCAAAGTAGTACTGGAGGATGGTGAGACAGTGCTGAAACCTGTAAATCAAAATTTCAGGTCTCAAAATTTAGAAGCAACACCTCCTGTAACCATAGGAGTCACAAGTGAGTTGTTGTGAAGTCAATTGCTATAATCCACTGTGCATATTTCATCTACAAATAGTTGCACCAACAATCAAAAGGTCTTATTTATTCCCCACTAAGCCCTGAAAAGAAAGAAACACTTGCATTTATGAAGTGCCTTTCGCAACCTCAGGATATCCCAAAGCGCTTTACAAACTGCAGCTCAAAATTATTTGACTGGTTGTTAAACAAGAAAGGCAGCAGCCCAAGTGCATGCAGCAAGTTTACACAAGCTGCAATATGATCCCACATCAGTAAATGAGAGCACTGGAAACTGAGCTCATGTAGAAATGGCCAAAATACCTGGCTTTGTCTTATAAGTGGGTCAGTGAATGCCCAGGACTCCCATTACAATTTAGTGACTCTGCACTTCTATGTGTACTGTGTACATGCCAACTGCCTGAGCAGTGAAGAAGCTGGTTTGTTCTGTCTATATATCGAGAATAACAGAGACAAGAGTGAGTTAAAAGACAAACACAATCAAAGACTTTACAGTCCTAAAATCACATGCCAAGCCAGGATAGTGTAACGGTCTCGATTACTTTAATCCCCGCCAGCCAATTATTTTATATAATTGTACAGAAATGCCCCTGTTTATTCAAATTGAAATTTGAGTGACTTAGCCAATGACTAGACATTATTAGCAATAGTTAATAATTATCCTGTGCATATTTAATGAAGATTAACAGCCCTGCTGGGATATAGTGAAGGTATCAGACTTTCAGACATAGGCCAAGAGTGAGGATTGAATCCTGAGGTTAGGCTTTGAGTATGTCTGTCACTCTCACTCTTTCTCCCCAGTTGAAGCAGGTTGTTAGAGGAAGCAAGGGCAGCGACAACAGAATGACTTACCTAATGACCCAGAAATGTCAGTCAGATAGAAATTTCTGAAACTAGATTGGAGTTGTGCGACAGAACCATACAGAAATCCAGATACAGCTGACTCCATGAGAATTGTCCAGGAAATTAAAATTTAAATATTGCTAACTGGAGACTAGAAGTTGGAACTCTTCATCTTTCTCATCAAAACTACCATGCAGAGAGCAGACATTGGAATAAAATTTTTTTTTATGCAGAGCAACAAGAGTGTGCTGATTGGTTGGGCCATAATTGGCATGAAGATCACATAAAAACAGTTAACTGTCAGTCTTAGCTCTCAGAGTAGGCAGATAGATTCTGATTGGTCAGGGCATCGTAATGGGTTGCAGCCAAGTTTAGTTGTCTCCATGACTCTGTTTTTGAGATGTATGTACAGATTTCTGTAGCTTCTAGCCTTTGAAAATGCATTATACTGTGAGGTCAGCTGATGATCTTAAATTGGTTTCCAGTGTAACTCTTAGCACAGTTGGATTATTTAATAAATGATTTCTAATAGCAGAATCACATCCAACGGTGGATAGAACTCAGGCTTGCAAATACAGGCTGGTTGAGCACAAGTAGCCTGTTGCCTGCTGTGATTGGTCAATGGAACATGTTATTTGATACAGTCTTCCAGCCATTGGGATGTACAACCTACATACCTGTTATCACTCCAGCACTGAAACTCGATATATCATATTAGTCATTTGTGTGGTAGGCAGCAGCATCCTGATCATGGAGAAATCTCCTTGTGGATATACTGGAGAGTAGCAGCATGAAACAATTCATTGTACTTGTTCAAACATTTGAAACCCCTTTCCCTTCCAGGATAAACTGAGGTAGACTGGGCACCACTCAGGGCCAAAAGTGGTAGCCCTTCCATACATTTTGATGATAAAATGATGAGTTGATCAGGGTATTCCGTATCACTTGGGATAGCCTTGATATGTCCTGTCTCAGCATAGACAGTGAGCAGATGGTTCATGAGGTTGCCAGCAAGATTGTTCTTTAGTACATGGGACTGAGGCAATCCCAACATTGGCTAGTGAATGTGGACTTTCAATAGACAGTAGTTAAGAAACCGTTCTCCACTTCTCAACAAGTTCATCTGGTAATAAGAGCTCATTTGATCAATCCATTTCAATAGCAAATTTGAGAGCAGGATGGAGTTTATTCAACTGTGCAAAGAAACTTTGTGGCTGTTCATTGAATATTGTGCTACTACATGTCAGAAGTATGCGAGGAGTAAGAGGTTAGCGGTCCTAACATCAAAATTGAAATTTCTTTCAGGCAATTCCCCAGTATCTGGAACCCTCTGATAGAATCAGGGTCCAAACTGACAACACCCCCCACAACCCAAAGACTTTCCACATCCCCCATCCCAACCACACCTTGACCAGTCACCTTCCAATGCCTGTCCCGACCCTGCCAACCCAACACGTGACGCCTGTCTGACCTGATGCCTGCACCCACTCCTCCGACCTCCTCAGACCAGGTACCTGTCAGCCACTGAGGCCTGAGCCCAGACAATCAGGTCGAAAATACCCCTAACCTCTCCCTTCAGTCCCTTGCCACCCATATGCCACACTTCCTTGATATCCTAATCCTTTCGGAGTAGTTGGCAAAGAGGCTGCTGGATATTACAAGTACAGAATATGCCACTGTAAAAGGGAGTGTGGTTTCATTAAGGATCAACTCTGCAGCTGAATGCAATGGTTCCTGGAATGGTCTCCACTGTTTTGCAACAGTAGGCTGCAGGAAATTCCAGGGCATAACTGGTCAAAAGATAAATGTGTAACATTTGAGCCCAGTCAGGTTCCGAAGTCTAAACACTGATTAGAAATTCTGGACCAATCTTTCAAACTTCCCTCAATCAGTGGGAGAGTTGCATGAAGGTTGGAGAGTGGCAGATGTGCTACTCTTGTTCAAGAAAGGGTGCAAGGACAGTCCTACCAACTACAGGTCGGTTAGCTTCACACCATTGCTGGGTAAGGTTTGGAAATCCATAATCAGGGCTTAAAGTTATCAGCAACTTGGAGAGGTTTGTGTTAAATTTTTATACAGTTACAAAAGACAGATCTTGCTTAACGAATTGAACTTCCTGATGAAACAGGGAAAGATAATAAAGGGAAGGTTGTCTATGTAGATTTTAAGCAGTTGGCAAAGTACCACATAAATGGCTGATTAACAAAACTGAGATTCACAGAATTGAGGAGAGTCAGTGTCCAGTTCCACAGAAAGCAGCAAGTCAAAAACTAAGAGTTAAGATTTCAGGTAAGGCTTGTGGGGAATGTGAGGAAGGTCATTTTTGCACAGTGAATGATTATCATCAGGAGCTCGTTGCCCAAAAGTGCAAAGGAAGCAGAGACCATCAATGAGCCCATCCAATCTTCTTTCAAAGGAAATAAACTTCCAGGAGTATAGGAATCAAGCGTGGAAGGACAGGATTTCTGTACTGGGAGCCAGGTGGATTTGATGGACCAAATGGACTCCTTTTGTCTCACGACCAACTAGTGAGTTTATACTGGTCTAAGAAAGGCCAATGACTTTTCCATATAGTGAGGGGATAATTGCATAATGGTAATGTTACTGGACTGATAGTCCAGAGGCTGAAACTAATCAACTAGAAACATACTCAAATCCTTAAAATACAAGTATTAAATCTAGAATGAAATGCTAGTCTGATTGCTACTGTTAAGTCCTCACTAATTGCTAGAAACAAAAGTCTGGTTTGCTAATATCCTTCAGAAGAGGGAATAAAACCAGAAGGAATAGGAGCAGGAGTAGATCATTCAGCCCCTTTGAGTCTGCTCAACCATACAACAAGATTGTGGCTGATCTACTTTGACTCCAATATGTAGGAATCTATCAATCTCAAACTTGAACTTACTGAATGATTGAGTCTCCAAGGCCCTCTAGGGTATAGTATTACAAAGAATCAGTACCTTCTGCGTGAAGAAATTCCTTGTCACCCACCCCTCCTTCCTCCCCCCCAACCACTGCCACCATTCTGAGACTGTGTAGACTGGTCTACCCTCACCCAGACAGGGACATCCTTCCTGCATTTACCCATGTTGACCCCTGTATGAATTTTGGAGGTTTGATTTAGATCAGTTTTTATTCATCTAAGCTCTAGAGAATAGAGGCACACAGTTTATTTGATTGTTCCTTATTGGTCAATCTGTCCATTCCCAAGAATCAGTCTGGCAAATATATCGTTACTTAGGTAAGCAGACTAACATAGCATACAATTGTCCAAATGTGGTCTCACTAAGGCTCAAAGAACTGCAGTAAGAATTCTTGTTCCTATTTTCAAATCCCCTTGTAAAAAGGGCCAAAATGCCATTTGCTTTACTTTTTGATTGCTATACGTGTATATTAATTTACAGTGACCCAAACAAAGACATTCAAATCCCTTTGAATGTCAGTATTTCCCATTAACTCTCACCATTTAAGAAATACTCCTTAGTTCTGTTTTCATGCCAGAATGGGTAAATATCATATTTCTCTACATGGTAATCCAACTGCCAAATGTTTTACCATTTGTTAGCCTCTCTAAATCCCCTTGAAACATCTTTGCATCTCCTCATAATTCTCACGAGCAGCACCAGGCTAAACATGAAGTGCGAACCAACAGATCAGTTCCAAGTTCTGTAAGCATGCCAGATACAGTCATGAATGTTAGTTGACAATCAG